AATAATTATTACACTCATGTGCAAATTCAAAAAAATACAATACATCGCGTGAAACAGTGGACCACCAATGTAGAATTTATCGCGGTTAAAACAAGACGACCCCTCCGATAGAAAATAGTAAAAATGCGTTAAAAATGTATATTATCATAAAATAACGATATGAAATTCGTGCATGGACACGGTAAGCTCGAGTATATTATTCTAACGTATAGCTTTTATAAGCGCTAAACGATATTATTTCGACTCCGAGTGTATAGTATTATGTACTAGTACTATATATATAGATAAACTGCAGGGAGTTGGGATAGCGCACGACGAATATTTTGATTTTGAATATTTCTATATTAAGCAGCTTCACCTTGATCACTCGGTATCGGACGCGTTCTTCTGTGCGATCGTTTTGGACGAGTATATATATTAYATTGTTGAATTTTAGGTTTATATTGTGTTTTCGAACGGAAATCTGTCGCGGACATCTTAAAAATACCTATATTAACCTGCAGCCACACCGATATCGATCGGAAAGCAGACCATCGCGTAAAACTATCCGAAATGTGCCTGCGTATCGACCATCATACACGTAATTATAATATTATAAGTAAATATCTGATAATGTTATTGTACAACATTGCAAGCGCCTTCCGCGACACGACTGTTTTTTTATATATGTAGTGACGATTATCTGATACCGACACGTCATCTATATACGACGACGAACAGATGATCCACTGTTTCACGGTTTAAGTTAAAAATTCAAACATAAAATTATAATACATTGCGACAGAGGCGTTACACTTTATTTTATTTTAAGATCCGTATATTGCGTATGGTATTAGAATAATAGTATAAATAATAATATGATCTATATAATATAGTAAAATAACGSACTCWACGTAGCTATTAAGACTCGGATAATAGTAATAATATATATACTAATGTAACATCATAACATAATGTCGATGACTAGAGATAAATCTGAGATTTTATAATGATATATACATAATATATAGTAGTATTTTCGTAAATAAAACGAAGGTATAAATGCATAGAAAACAAAATCTCATTATATGGCGGGATATATATATGGCTGATAAATCTAATATTTTTTATATTACAATTTCTCGTCGCGTAAAAAAAAACCCCGATTACAATATAGAATAGACGYGGTGAAGAATAAAAATTWAAAAAAAAAATTGTTTAACACGATAAAATAATAATAATTAATAATTCAATAAAAAAACGTGTTGTTGGAGATTCTCATCAGAGCCTCGTCACCTCGGGCGGCGGCGGCTGCTGATGTTGTGCCGCGTATCTCCGGCAGTCCGTCTGACTGGCCTTGTCGTTATTCCTGACGTAACCCGCGAAGTAACCGCCGGCCGCCAACGAAGAGGACGACGAACAAGCGTCCAAGTACTCGCAGCTGGCCGACGACTCGATGGCCGCGATCGGGTACTGCGGCGGTAGCGTGAGCAGCGTCTCCGTGGACTTGGTCGGGTGACGGATCCGGCCGCCGGCGTTGTGGCGATGGTGATGGTGRCCGTTGTTGTTGGAACGTTGTTGATTGTTGTTTTGATGGCCGTGTTGCTGCGGGTGTTGGTGGTTGTGATGATGGTGGTGATGGTGACCGCCGTGGTGTTTCTGTCCGCCCTTGACGTTCTTCAGCTGCAGGTATACCATGTGATGCTGTCCAGAACCAGTGCCGCCTCCGCTGGCGCCATTGTTGACGATCTGGTCGCGGTCCAAATACTCGTAACCGAACCCGTAACCACCGAACGCCTTGGTGGTTAGGTTGTCCCACGATTTGACCGGCTTGACGGTACAGTTGTCGCGCCGGTACGTCGATGACGACTGTGACTTGACCGAGTGCTGCCGAGATGCGGCCGACTGCTGACCCGCAACCATCGGGTCGTCGTCCCAGTACAGCGTGTCCGTGCTCAGCGACGTTGTGTACGACGCTGGGCTGTTCTCCGTTAGGCTGTTTTGTGATGGTCGGCTACCGCCTCCCCCGCCGATCGACGTGCTTTGACACATCCTTTCGTCTGACGCGTACCGATCGTTTACCAGATTGGTGTAACCATGGTTACCGCCGGTACCGGTAACGTACTGCAGCGATGGRTTGTGTTCGTCGGACGCTTCATTCCTGGTCGAGTTGCGCCGTTTATCGTGTCCCTTCCGGCAATACGAACCCTCCGATTTGCAGTCTGCGAACATACACAACACACAACGCCARTTGCTCCGATTAAAAACGTGTCGAACATGACAATATATAACAACAACAATAATAGTAACAGCAACGATATAATGACTTTGTATTATAAATGTGTACACTTATATACTGCAGAGCGATTCATCAAGCGAGCTCACCCTCCCTTTCTTTTTTTCAATRATACAGTTTTTCCAAATCTGATTTTGTAATTCTCAAATATAATACATTTTCAAATTTTTGATATTTTTCATTATTTTAGCTGACTACTAGAGAGTCTTTTGAAGATACAAACTTCGGTAGTTTGGTTATTAAACAAAACCCCCCATTTTATATTACAAATTATAGAATTTGAAAATATAAAGTTTTCAAGTATATATTTAAACAATTGCAAAAACCAGAATTTAAATGAATTTTATAAAAGAAAAAATTGGGGGAGGGGTCAGCTGTTCTTAGTGAATCTCCAGTATATAATGTATGTTATACATTATGATAGATATTACATACAAGATGGTACATTTATATAAGTGTCTATACATTTAAAAAAAAAAAAAAATGTTTTTTCGTGCTTAATTTATTGTCATTGCAGTTCAGCATTTGAAATTATATACATTCATAATTTATAGTCTCTCAATCAGAATATTTTATATTATTTAAATTTAAGCGAACAGAGTAGACTGTTGAATGCAGGCATATCTGCACAGGAGTAGTTCTCCGCAAAACATTGATCCATCCCTTCACTCATCCACACTTAAAATACTTATTATAAACTTTAATGTTTTGAATTTGATTATTTTCTGTACCGAAGTACTTCAAAAAATATTTTGCTACGGAAGAACAGAATATGAAATTAAAATATGCCATTAAAAAAATAAAAATAATAGGAACGATGAGAAAATCACTGAAATTGGTGAACTTYTGTTGTATAGTAGGTATAGGTACACTATTGAATTAATTTTTATCCAATGRTTGTAACGTTTAATTCCTAGGTACGTACATCGATTAGTTAGGTACATCGTACATGCAAAWATATTTTAAGTTCAATTWAYRATAAAATAATGTAAACGAATCGTGTTTGATGTCAATGAACCATATAATATAAACAAAATGCGAACACCGTGTTTTAGATTGTTGACTAGAGGTGACCAATACTTGCATACCGAAGTGATTTGGCTGTACAAGCTAGAATCTGAATAAGCGCAAAAATAAATGTTTAAAAATACCCACCACGCGTGTCTGGCACCTGAATACAATTTTTTTGMCCTTTACRAGTTACGTGCAAATTAAAAATGCAAATGCATATTACAATTTATGCCCAAGTTTCGTGCGACAAAGTGCAATTTTATATACTCATATAGGCAATATTCCTATAGCTGAAGACGATTTTGGAGTTATTATATTGCTATTTAAATACGGGCTGCACATCATCATTATTTGTTATCAGTTAACTCCGAYACATTTCGACGATATAAGGTATCCATATTATATACAAAGATATTATTATAGTAGTTACTAGCTTACTAGTCTGTGGCATGGCCAGGGGACTGAGAGGGATGCGAAAAATTCAAAAACATTTACGGTGTTCTGTGAATGYATTACGTATACGTTACCATATTAGGTATGTGTTAAAATTGTAATTTGTGCGAAGGTTACGGCAAAAGTATAAAACGTTAACCACTGTTGTGGTATCAGCATCATACAAGACTTATGAGGGATCATAATAGAATCAAACATTCTTTTTGTAATAAATTATCAGCCACCAAAAGCAAAATCCTGGCTACGCCACTGCAGTTAGTGTATCACATAAACCGTAAATTCTACTGACATGCAAGACATGGCTAAAAAATAATAATAAATAAACTTATAAATCCATGCGTTTAATATCTATTATTAAACATAATAATATATAATAATTTGTCTTAAACGGATAAAATAATATATTTCTCACACAAATAAGTGTTCCTATACAACGTGTTTATACAAATGACAACACTTGTACACGCGTAAAAGACATAAAAAAGGTAATATCATTTATATAATTATAAAATACATAAATGAAAAAAAAAAAAAACAATAAAAATATAAACGCGTAGTATCAAAGTAGTATATATTAGGTCGGTAATATCGAGCACCCGAGTTACTACATGATAGAATAGCATTAAAGGGACAGGGTCGGCAACATTAATGTTTAATGATAAATTATAATATAATTTTATGTATTTTTGCAACGACGATTCGATAATAAATTCTGTTTTTAACTGGAAAGGTGCAAAAAAAAAAACGTTAAAAAGTAATGTAAGTACCTACTATAGTTGTTCGTGTATAATACAATATATGTATATATTAATACTGTTATAACGATTGGAACATTGTAAGGAACGTGCGTGCAACAATGTCCAGAAACATAAAAAAAATTACCCCTGCAGTCTTAGCCACCACTATTAATTACTTATATCACCCGGTGCTTGAATTAGGAAAAAATCAGAATTCTGATCTCCCCTAAGGGGGATGTAAAAGTGTAAGTCAAATTTCGTGCTCGAATATTAAAAAAAAAATTATTTATTATAGGATATAAACATGACAATAAGAGAAAGCAAACATTTTTTGTTTAGAAGAAGAAGAAGTTCCCTTCAATTTGAGCATTGTCAATAATATAGTTATGAATGTATTTAAAAATAATAACAACTAAAACTCAAAAACAAAAATATGAACAATTATTCACCGGTGTATGCGTATACATATACGTATATACAAACCTATCATGCATACAATATCATGATGTATATATAACATAATATTTATGTATATGCGTTTGGAGTAAAATTTTAAGAAAAGAAAAAAATATGTATATTAAAAAAGTATTTATAGGTAGGTATATAATATGTTATGGAAAAAAGACAACGACGAATACTATGCAATAACATTATTATCTTTATAGTATAATAGGCGTATAATAGACGTGCAGCTTTGCGAGTAAGTGAGGTACGGGTGGGCAGAGGACGCGTGTGTGGTATATTATACTTAAGGTATATACTATCTAGTATCTATGTACTATATACTAGATATACTAAAACATTACTACATAACATACACTGTCTACGATACTGCTAACTATAAAGTCATAACAAAATCAATAACAACAAGATAGTATATATATGATGCGTATTTGTCGTTGCATGCGTATTATACATTATTATGTATACGATTTCAAGATTTCAAGTGCGTGTGCGAAGACCAAAACCACAACAACAACCACTAAGTCGGCATCCACCGAACAACAGCGACAAGCAACTCGGCCAACATCGAGGTCGTCGGGACCGCTGGAACAGCAGTCGTAGCTTGCCTGGGCTTTTGTCGCGACCGCCACGCGCTGACGATGACTTGCGCCTGCGTCGATGTCTCCTGGTGGGCACGCACTGCGATCCCGGGCAGCAGGCCGCTCCACCGTCCGCCGCAAGATCGTACGCCTCCATGCTGCCTCCATCGTCGTCGTCGTAGTCGTTGTTGTCGTCGTCGTCGTCGTCGTCGGCGTCGTGTCCTCCGCCGCCATCGTTCCTCCGCCGACCGGATGCGCCGCCACCGGTGCGTATGCAACCCCATCGCGGACAGTTATCGCCTACACCGGAAAGCATACAGGAAACAACAAACAAACAAAAACGGAAAAGAAGAAGAAGAAGAAGAATATGTAAAAGAAGTACAGATGAAATAGAAGAAGTAGAGAATTAAAAATAAATACGCCACCACCTATCGTGTTATATTTAAGTATACATACGAGATGTGATAGAGTGTAAAGTGTAAGTGTAAAGGTGCAAAGCGGCTTCAAAGCAATTCATATAGGTATAAATAACGCCACGTGTTACGCATTTACGCGGCCGCGACCGCAGCAGGACTTGTGCAACTCGAAAACAAATAAATAGAGACAAGAAAATATTCAATACAATATACATACTTTCAAAGTTATTTTTCAGTTSACGCGAGCGAGTTATTATTTTAGGACGTTTCGGGTAAATTACATACTGTATATATATATTATATAAATAGGTATGATTTTATATGTCACCTACTATTTATGTTTTTCGAGTTGTGCAAGTTCTACTATAATTAAATTACCTATACATACAAACGTATAATTATTGTTATTATATTATTGGCACGCATAGACGCAATCCAGGTTGTTTGTTGGGAATCAGGAAGTAAGGGGATAACAGGGAGATATTATTAGATTCACCGACCCCTATAATTTGTTTCAAGTATATATACTTATATGGTTGGAAGTTGAAATATAATATTCTGTRTTAAAATTGTCTATAAATCAACAGCTTATTAAAAACAATGCTCTTATCAAATCGAGCCCGTGAACGTAGTACGTATAATTTATAATATATATATATTATATTATGTAATTTGTAGGTACCTAAGTAAAATCTTTCCACGGTAGTTTTATTCCGACGACGTAAATTAATTGGGATTTAAAAATTATATAGATATGAGCATTATTGTTTTTTATATTATACGGACGAGTATGTGCATATTATCGTAATACCAGATATCCAATATTTACCTTGTGATGAAGACCGCTGCGATGCTCTGTTGGTGAAGTTGTGCTGTTTGCAATGCGGCTGCTGTTGCTGCGAACGATTTGGCACGTCCGACGATGTGCTGCACCGCCGGCTGACTTCCACCACGTAATGTGATCGTCTTCTCTGCTGAACCRGTTGATCCGGTGGCGCCCAGTTTTCCTGTTGGTCGCAGCTTTTGCTGCTGTTAATTGAACGATTGCTGAAAATTCAAAATACACGGTATGTTAATGTATATACATATCAGTATATATACGTTGATGATTGATGCCTATGGCCTATGGGTTAATGTACATAAGTACATTGATGATCATATATTATATTCTARGGTAAAACGAGAAGAAAAAAGAACCGTGTAAAGAAAACAGTTAACGAATGTGTTGGCGCTGAATATTGATATTATTGTGGCGAATGGCGATTATAAATTATATAATATTATGTCGTCGGCCACAATATTATTAATCTTCATCATTATTCATTATTCTTTGCTCATCTGTTCCAGAACACCATGAGTATAAAAATTGGAAAAAAAGGTTTTTCTCTCAAAAAAATTTAAGGKTGGTAAAAATTATAATTCGTCAACAAAAATTATTATTGTTATTTTTAGCCCATTTTCTAAAAACGAAAAATTYTAGTGACACCACCATGACGTAGGTAATATGTGTTACTATTTATATATGTACCAATTACATAAATATTATAAATACTATAATTATTAGGACTTCACTCGTAATTTATCTCATATAAATACTTACAGAAATCATAATGTATAGTTGAATTTTCCATATGTTAAAAATATTTATTATGATATTATAATACGTCATTCATGCAGCCTGCAGTATAAGCTATATAGTCACTATACAATGAGCTGATAGACTCGATAGAGTGGCTAGAACATTATTAATTGCCTTTATGACTACAAGACAAGTATATTTTATATTTTGTACGGTAAAATAATAAGTCAACTGTGAAAAATAAAGCCCAAAGCGAAAAGATATTAATTTACTTCGCAATGAAAAGGAAAATAAACACTCTCCTTCATCGACAATGACAGGGAGAAACTATATTCTCATGCCATCCTGATAAACGCCGCCAATTTAAGGGCTCTGTTACAATAGTGGTCTGTTTAGTGTTRTGTTCGATAATCTAAATTAATATTCGCCCCGCAGATAAAAACTACACGCTCGATTATCGATGGCTTGATCCCAATTAACAGACCCGCATGTATCACATGCCTTGTTTGGGTTGAATCGAAGCTACAGGAGCATTTATATCCATCTAGTAGGTATTTCGTTTTTATTTACATTATTACAGAATATCATAATGTTAATAATTATATAGAACAAAGTATAGTTGAACGTTTACACAAAAAGCGTCCAACGGGACCATATACGATTTTTCATCGTTACGATGAGTTAAAACCTCACCGACATCGATACTACTATAYTGTAGCAGTGTAGCTATCTACTTATACTTAATATTTTACATAATGATTAAGAAAATCAGGACTAAATTATTAAAATAATTGTCGGTACAAATGAGTACCTAGTGATACTTTATTATTTTATATTATTACATTTTACTTTTCAGAGCAAGGTTGGCTATTTTTTTTATTAAAGCACACCTGTATGATTGAGTACCTATATGTAATTATTATGAAATAAACCAAATTTAACGACTACCTATATAGAAATATATGACGCAAACCGTTATAATAATTTGAACATACATAATTGTTTTATCGATATCTTTGAAAATGTTAACATTTAAAGTTCACGTAATTACCAAATAAATAACATGATATTGCTTGAATAATTGTAGTAATTAGGTTCGTTCATCATAAACAAATAATGATTATTTCACATTATGAATAACAACTTAACATTAAGATGAGTGAAAGTATAATKAATTTACTTTTATTTTTTTCCTTAAATATTTAATTAGTGTAACAAAGATAAAAATAAATATTACATATTAAATTATAACTGTTAAAGTATACCTACAATTGTATTTGATTATACTATTTGCATTAATATATTTCCATGATTTCTAGTTCATATTATATCATTAAAATTAGCATGATAATAGGCGTGCCAGTAATTAATTAGTAATTACTAATTAGGGTTTTGTTTCTACTTTTGCATAATAAAACTGGTACCAATGTCTAACACAAAGTTAACTATAATTTAAAATTGCAATACTGTAATGGACATAATATATACATATTCTATTACCTGTGCCAACCGACGTAACTTGAATCTCCATTGATTATGGCAGTGGCAGGCTGATGCAAGTAGTAGGAACGTCCGTGCTGATCGATGAAATGGTGTGGTCGATAAGCCAACATAAAATTTTGTTTGGGCACATAAATTGGCTGCACTTTRGCCACGTCTTCAGTCGATAATGTAGGCCTAGACATAGAACTTTCACCTGTAATTAAATCAATGCATGTTRAAACTTGAAAATAACAATATATGAGCTTACCATTATATAATAATTTAACTATTAAGTTTAGGTATTGATAAAATTGATTTGAAAAAAGTTTGAATAATATTCATACGCGTATTACCTTATTTATACCGTACTATTAACAATGATAATTTTAAAATGTTGTTGAATATTGTGAAAATATAATTTACCAATTAATGATTAATATGTTTGCAGTATATAATTATAAAACATAATTACGTAAAGTCAAAAATCTGAATTTTGAAGTTAATTATTGCTGAAACCGGTTTATATTCCAAATACGTTTGTATAGATTTTCAAACGTTTTAAAWCAAAATTAAGATTAAATAAGTGGGTTACCTACCAATTACTTTATTATAGTTATTTGTAAAATACGTACATTATAATATAACCTATACCTATGCTTTTTTATAATTAAAACTATTTTATTAATTGGTTAATACTAATATTATACAGTATAGTCWCTCGATAATTCAAAATTCAGTGGACTGAGCTAAAAATTCGATTTATATAGAGGTTTTCGATTTATCGAGTGTTCGAATAATMGGGGAAAAATAAAYTAATTTGAATTAAAGAGAGGTGAAAAATAACAATATTTTACTACTTCAACTATTGCGAACACTTTTTTTGTCGGCAATCGATAAACACTACCTATACTTTACGGAGCCCATATTCCGACTGACTACGTTTTATTCGATTTCAACAACTTACTATTTACCAGTTGCAGAAGTTTATTTTAGTTAAATGGTATAATTAAAGTCTGGATTATGTAGGTAAAGTACAATAATAGATTTTAATCACCTTGGTTATTAGTTTCATTACGAGTACATCAAATACTAAATAGATTGTACTCGTACATAATCTTTATACACATGAACATACATATAATCGCGTTTAAGGAAATTCAAATAATAGAGGTTCTGGAAAAAAAATTTCGAATTGTAGAGGGTATACTACYGACTGACATTTTGAATTATCGAGGGGTCCGGAATACATGTATATTTTCTTCTAATCATAGATGTTAACTCAGAGGACTAAGCGTTTAGTTCGATTTATGATGGAGTTTTTCGAATTATCGATTAACTACTGTACTACACTTATTAAAATTAATATAAATAAATGTACTTTATAAGTTTATACATTAACTAATATTTATAACTGAGTTATAATTTTTTTTAATATGATTAATTTTATAATATTTTTAGACTTTAAGCAAATAAATAAATTTTATTGACAGAATTTTTAGTAAGCCAACCACTAAAAAATCTGAACAATAAGCTTAATTAATAAGATCCTGTAAGTTCTATAAGTTATGCATAATACCTCTAGTTATTTTCTTAAAACGATAAATTGAATTTATGCATAATAATAAATAATAATGATACACWAATATTAACCCTAATTTTTTATTTCCATGGTTTTTAAACTGCTTATTTCATTAGATATTAAATCATCCCTGAAACGAGTATTTCATCAATCGAGAAAGTATAAGTCTAAGTATACAAACTATGATGAATACGAAAACTATAACAATACAAATTATTATGAAATTATACAAAAATGATTAATTGGTAGGTATAAGTGTTATGGTAATGATTAGTAAAGAAAAATAGGTATTTGAGTGGCATTTTGAATGTAAAATGTGRTTACTAAAAATTGTGTGAAAATTCGAAATTATTTTTCACATTACGCGTGGCATGTTATTATCGGCGAAAACGTCAATTAAACTAAAATTTTTTGCTACGAGTGTGACTGTATCAACTGCTGCAATGTATCACAAAATAAATTATGTGACATTCCGTATTAGTAGGTTATTCACGTTCGAAATCTTGAAACGCAAATAACCTGGAAAAATTAAATTAAATTAAAATATTATTATCTGAAATGCAACAAGTTTGTTTCGTGTGGTTTAATTGTAAAATATCTCAAAAGTAGATTCCTAGCTGTATTCTGTGATCTTTCAACGACTGTATACAAAAATATTTAAGTATTTGTAGCGTTAGTAGAGCAGTAAAGAATTATTATTATCTTRATGTAAATTCATTATTATTTGGTAGGTACATATATAGTATGCCAGTACAGCATTAACATTAAATAGTCATATATGATTGTTAAAAATTACAATATTTACAGACAGGTTGAGATATCACATTATGGTTCCGGTTCGAACCCGAGCTGTGCCTGGGCACACAMCCAATTACTCGCTATTACTACTACTCAAATAGCTGTAACCTGCAGTGCGAAACTTTCCCACAAAAATTTTTAAAAATAAAATAAATATTGACTTTTTAAGCTATAATTTTATAAWATGACATACTCAATTGTTATTTTTAAGTTAAAATTCTAGCTGACCCATCGTTCAATCGTTTTGTAATAGCTGCGCCTATATTAAAACCCAYGCATACCGTACTAATACCATGCCGCTGTTAACAACTATTTCGTTTGACGTTTAATAGATAAAAAGAAAYCGTCGCAACAGTAAAGTTGACGAAGCATAAGGAGAACCTACGTAATAACTTATAAATATGATGTGTGTGGTGCGCGTGCACACTACATGCGGAAACTCACGTAGSTTTTTACACGAAATGCAACAATGTTTTCGAATAAACTTAATTGATTAAGTTTTTGTAGTATTTTCAATAAAYAATTCAACTTTAAACTTATAGGTTRAAGAAAAYCCATGTAAATCGGTTCGGTAGAAATTTAAAATCTTACGTTATAATTGTTATTCACAAGTTTATAATAGAATTTGTATAATTTATTTCTCTACACTCGAAAGTAAAAGCCAAAAACTGATTGAAGGGAATAAAATAAAAACAAAWTTCTGTGATATTATAGGTAATATTAGTTATTAGGATAGTRATTTTATGGGAAAAATATCGTAAATAAAGATAAACGTATATTTAAAGTTATTTTAACGTAAATAGGGTACAATTACCGTTTTCAGTCAATATTTTTTGGTTGGCAGCGTCTTTAGAAGAATGACTAGACTTTTTTCTTGCCGGTAAACTGTGCGTTTTCCATTTTCCTTCCATGAGCTCTCTCTCTTTGATTTCGACCTTTTCTAGTTCTTCGACTTTGGCCTGAAGCGTACGCTGAAGTTGTATATATCTCATGTGTAAGTCGACCTATAGAAAATACATTATTTTTTAACTTACCCCATATACACTATAAATATAGTATGTATAGGCACAACGATGAGTTTATATATTGTTCTTATATTCAATTATTCAAATTCTCACCTTTCGCACGCAGTCTTCAAATAGCACCACCATTCTCATTCGTGAATCACAGCTTTTTATAAAGCTTACCAATGCTTTATGGTCAGCTTTTTCCATGTCGACGCCATTTATTGACAATATTACGTCACCTACAACAATCCRCAAAATGTCAGTTATTTTGTTTTTTCCACGAATACGAGTATATGAAAAATCAATTAAATAATTTACCTTCTCTCATCCCAGCTCTATATGCCGGTCCATCGTAGTCTACGTGATCCACATACGTTATCATTTCAATCTCCTGCTCTTTTTTATAGTGAATGCCATAACTCTTTAAAAAAATATATATATAAAACCATTTAATGTATAGTAAATTATATATTATCTAGGTATCTACGTCTATTGTTATAATTTATAAGCATATAAGACGCGCTAGTCATAAATAAAAAAATAAAATGTACACTTTGTCGTCAGTTTTATAGACAAAACATGTAAATACTCCATATGTATCAGTTCAATATTTATTATTCAGTATCTATAAAATTCCTAGAATTTAGTGATAACTGAAGAAATATACTAAGCGTGAACTATAGGTTTTTTCACTACAGTTACACTACAAAGTTACTGTCAATCGACAATGACATAGAACAATATGTTATTAAATATAAATTAATAATGGTGAATAGATAGTTATTGAAAAAAAAAATCAATTTCGTTTATTCGATAAAAAAAATTATATTTTATATTATAATAGTACCTATTTAATTTTAAAAATAGTAATGATTAGTGATCACTAGTCAGAAATCCGTACTAAAAAAATGTAAATACAAATAATATTTACTTGAAGCATAAAGCCATAACTTCCATTTTTTTTCTCAACAATTATGGTCCTTCTCCGTCGATCTTCTTCTGGTTTTGTAACAGTTACATGATCACATTTCACTCGGTCGAGTATCTGATTCTAAAACATAAATAATTTATATATTTGATATTTATTTTCCAATGCTATTACATTTATATCAACTAAACAATCATCGAATYCCGCTTTCATTATATAATGTTTGTACTGACGTCCGACATAAGTTTACAATGTTTACACATATATTCAAATTATAATTTAAATGATAATCATTTGCCCAAAAAACAGTTAAATGTCGCATTACGTATTAAGGCGTGTAATTTGATTCACTAACTATTTCCTACTTCCGTGATTTACTAAAATACTCTATTGTGGATGTATACTATTAGAATAATTAAATATTATACACAATCATATAATGTCAATATAGCTAGTCAAAATAATTATCACATATATTTACATGTAAACGTAGGTACCTATATCCGTATTAATAAAMTAACAAATATATATATATATAGGTACTAATAAATAACTGAAAAATTCAGACACCTTTATTAAGACGCAAATAGTTTAAAATAATATATCTATAAATCGTGGGTAGTATATCTTTGGATATAATTATTTTTCCACTATAAATCTATTAAATATAAGATATTCATCAAATGCCTATTACGCCGAACAAAGATGAAGAAAAATCTTAATAAATCAGAAAATGGATTCAAAAAATAACAAAAATTAAAAAATTATAAATTTACGTAGTTTATACGAAAAGAATTTTACGTTAATTGCCGCGGGAATATATGATAAACATTTTACAAACTGTTATATGCATTTATATCAACTATTTATTTTCACGTGTTAACGACCCATGACATTTCGATTTGCCAAATTTACCTGAAGAACAACAAGCACATAATATCGTTTAGATAAACTACTTGTTTTTGTACCAATATTGTCTTGCGCAACAAAATATTTAAACACCTATGATTAAAACATACTACGAATATTTTTTGAAGAGTAAAAACGTAAGAGTCTATATTATAATAATTATACAGGTACCTAGGTATCTAAATGTAAAACATCTAGTGAAAGCAATATAGCCATTTTAGGGCGAATGTGGAAACAAAAAAATTGTGAAGTATAGGTACTAAAATACACAAAATTTACCAAAATTTTGGTAAATATCAAAAATCTAGGTTTTACATATATATTTACGATGGTACCAGAAAATTAGTCATTTTCATTTTATTTTTTTTACATTATTCCAATTTGTATATATACCTATATGACTATATAATATATAAGATATAATTTAATAAATCACGCACAAGATTTACCAAATAAATTTAATWAAAAAAAATATTACGTCGTATACACTATACACTCTTCGTATAAGGCTTGCATGTACACAAAATGGTTACTACTAAATATATCATAATATAGCGACTTCTGTACGATGATATCAGATGGAGCAAGGGCTAAACTCGTTTTTCTGTAATAGGAGGCTGGTCTGAAAAGCAGTTGCCTCTGGCAATAATACATAGAGGCGTAGAGAGGAGGTATGCGTTATGTCATAATTATCGTAACTATTTATATGAGTACAATTCTATTTAACTTTACACACATAAGAATATTACTTAATAATAAATAATAATACAATAGGTACCCTCCTGAAAAGTGGGCAGATTCTAGTGAGAGATAGATAGATAGTGTTAAAACACTATACGTGAGTAATATGGTGTTTATTCTATCGCCACTGTAGTATATTACTCCGTAAAAACTCATATTATACCTACTATATTTTAATACGTACAAAAATATCAGATAGCAAATACGGCGTTGTATAAAATTTTACTCCACTAACTACTACAATGRATAAATAAAACACAACCGAATTTGTTCGATGTCCAGATATAAGAGCCAAAGTTACAGAGAATATTTTATAAGAATTTATGGCTTAATAATGAACGACATATTTTTTTTTTATTTTAAAACTTAATCTATAAGTTATGTACATTCCAATTGAAGATAATAATTTATCATATTTCCAATGTATACTACYGTACCCACGTMATTTGTATTCTGAGTGTAAACAGAAAAATGTATGTTTAAATTTATCTATTTAGTATTTAAAAAAATGCCCTTGTCACATAATAACAATAAAATTCTAATCGGTAATAACGAATAATGATTTAWGTGAATAAATGCGTAAATAAGTTATTGATTTATAGCAAACTAGGCTCAATATACATTCATCAGTATTACCAACAACAGTTTTACATTTGAACAAACACCTGTAAAAAACTAGTAAAATAATAATGAAGTGAAAATATTTATAACTCTGAAACGATGGTAAATGAGGTATATTTTTATAGGAATCAACAAATTTAACAATTATCAATTATAAAAAATAAATMAAACTTAATATATTGATACTAAAAACCTAACTTTACGAAATACTAAACAAAAATAATATATGATCGATTGCAATTGTTATTAAATAAAACTTGCAATCTATAGCAAATATCATCCAGTTCATCACCTAACCTAAYCGCCAATCTCTAAACAAAAGTATAATTAACACTTAGATTTAGTAACCACACAATTAATATCTAGTTAATTATTTCGTTTTAAGCCCAATGGCCTATGTTTCCGAGGATATACATATGTACAGTTAAAAAAAAAAAATAAATAAACATCTACTTGTTTGAAATAAATAAATAATTTTGTAAAGCTATAACATACAATGATATAATATATCAWACATGATGATGAGCTATTGATTTAGGTAATAATCGAATGAGGAAAATAATACAATTTTAAATTTCATTTCTAGACACAATATGTTGCACGTGAATTAAATATTAATTAGTTAGAAAATGCATTAACGTATAGAATTTTGAATAAAAATGTGGATACATTTGACGGTGRCACGTGCATTTTGTGAAATTGAAAGTTTAAAATTAGTATTCTAAAAGCAAAAGCACTTAATTTCAAATTTCAAATGAATAAACTTTATTAATAAATAATAATTATGTTATATYATGATAGTCGCGTTAGTACAAAATCAAAACTATAAGTATATGAATCATTTTAATGAACAAGCATTCAATTTGTTACAAATAAATTATGCTTGCGTTCAGGCATTGAAAATTAGAAAAATATGCTTAAAACTTTAAAATATACAAACACCACCAGTTTAAAATATTATAAAAATAAATAATCTAATTAATTTWAAAAAAAWAATAATAATAATATTACAGGAAAGTTGAGWAATTGAGGAATCATAAAGTACAGTGGGAAATTAATATCTTGTAACGTGCTTAATTTTTTAAAGAATTTAACTAAATTTTTTTTATTATTTATTGTTGGTTTACGTTTCTAAAGTAATAAACAAACTGTTATGAAAATCGGTGTCGCAAAATATTCAGTAAAAAAAAAGTTATATCCAGCCCAAAAACATTTCTATGTTGAAAAAAATAAATTAAAAATATTTTATTGTATTAGGTATCCGATTTTATTATTTTATTTATTTTATAATGCTATTAGTAGGTACTGTATGTTATGTTTGTCATGATGTGTTCACTGTTCAGCAATACAAATACAAAATTATAATAATATGACGTAATATTATT